GCTGGTTTCTCTGTGCCAAGATGACCCTACACACGTTGGCTCTCACCATGGCAGTTTTACCCACCTCAAATGGGAGGCAAGGCAAAAAGGGCTGGTATATGAACTACTGTCAGTCCTCTTGATAAGAGAAAGGTGCTGTGCCCCTGCCTTGTATCCTGCTATACAGTCATATAAACCTAACATTAAAACCCATTTGTGTCTAAAGTCTGATGCCAACCTGAACTTGTGATACCCTAGCTGATTAACTGATGGTTTAATCTCTCCCTGTCTAGTTCATTTAATTCCATAACTGGGAAGGAAAAAAAGGGTTTCCCTTATTGTCTCCCTAAAATTCTAAACTCTAGGACGGATTTTCCTTCAGACTGTGATATGTGCAAATTAGTCTTTACAATAATTCAGAAGGCAATAAAAATTGCAGATATGGAAATCCAATTCTATCAGACTGATTCAATCTTTACCCAGCACTTGGAATCACAAAATTTATCCAGAGTTGTTCCTTTAATGAAGAAAATGATTCCACAGATAGAGGGAGCTGATGTTCTGTGATGATGGTAACCATGAACAAAATGGTCCATGGCCTAGGCCAAGGTATTGCCAATATTCCCATCTATCCTCAGAAGGTTGTGCTTTTGGAAGAGGCAGAACTGTCACTGCTCACAGGAGTCACTTTACCACTTCATGATGCATCTTCTCCATGCTAGCATACACATGACCTTTGGGAGCCATGGTATAATCTGAAGTGAGGTCCTTGCTGAGATCTTATGTGCAGGTTAGCTCATCATCACACAGAGCTGCTAGGGCTGCACCTGGCACTTCTTCCCCCTCACGTGGTAGTGAGAAGAGAATACAGTATATTTTAAAAAGGGATGCTGGTGGCATTCAATCATGGTTTTGTGCTAAGAAATTTTTGAAGTCAAGTTTCAAAAATTGTTCTTGAGTATACAGATTTCAAGAGTGTCATCTAAAAGCAATTGTAACATTCCAGCAGGAAGAGAATCATGGACATTGGATATTTTTCTTCACACTGCTCATCAGCTCTTCCTGGTTTTTACATGTTAATTGGTTTTAGCCTGTGTAACTGTTCCCTTTTCATTTCCATCAGTCTGACAGATGAGACTATTGGGCTTACTAATGACTTGAACACCTACCTACATGAACACTGGGATAAACCTCAGTCAAGGATCCCTCCTCTGCTTCAGTCAAGCTTGGTCTTGAAATGCT